TTGCCAGGAGTCTAAGCCAGGGCTACCAAGGATTCTGACAAAGTAGGTATCCAAAGGGGTTTGGGGTCAACTGAACACAATGATAGTGCCCCAGGAGGAATCCCACTCCAGGAGATGCAGCTTTGCCTAAAAGCCTTGGGCACAGGGACCGTTGGTACATGTCCATAAACTTGGAGTGTGGAAGATATCCCACTGAAATCCCCTGACCTCATAACTCATGAAAAAATGGCTATCCACACCACACATGTGCATAGCTCCCTGTGGCTATTCAAAGCACCATTATTTCCAGATGAAATGGGTTTTAACAGATTACAACAACTTTGGCTCAATGTCAGAGGCCACAACAAGTCACTTTAGGAATGGGAGCTTAGACACACACCCCCGCCCCCAATAAAAGAAACAGGATAGATTTTTAAACTCTGTGGAGTTATAAATGGAGGAAGAGGTTTCCCCTAAGACTTTAAAAATAATTAGGGAGGAACAGGAGAAAGAAGCTTCTGTGTGGGCACAGGTGAAAACCTAATTAGAAACGGATTAGAGTTTTCTGAAATCACCCTTTTCCTTGCTTGACCAAGTCAGGGATGAGGTAACGACGACGCCATCACCTGGCAGGACTAATCTCCACCATGTAGCCCAAGAACTACAGGATGGAGCCCACCCTGCACTCTCCGCCAAGTCAGCTACCACCTCAACCTCACCCTGTGCCTAAGCCTAGGGAGGGGCAGAGCAGGACACCTGTGTGTACCCCACAAGGGCAGAGAGAGGGCTACAATCGGGTTGGTGGCTGACCCTCAGCCCAAGAGTACAGATGTGTTCTGGGGGCTGCAGATATCGTAAGGCACTCAGATAAGAGCATGAGGTTCCTAACTGGGTGGTCTCCTCTAGGAATTTAAGTCCCAGCACCTATGAGTTCACCTGACACCCCTGTGCTCTGGGAGAAACCCCCACATGGAGCCCAAGAGAAGCTAAGACATAGGTGAAGTTCTTCCTACAAGAGGGAGATGCTTAAACCTCAAAACAATGAGAAAGGGCCCTCATACTACCTTAGTCCAGGGATAACACTTGCAGAGACACTGCATTTACTGCAGTGTGGCCTGTGGAGAGGGGAGTCCACCCACAGCACTTGTATGGTAAGATGATCAGAAGCCCCTCTAGACACACATTTTATCTCAGTTGCCCTGGCAGAGCTCATGGTGTATTGACCAGCCAGGCAAAGTGATGGCAGCTTCCCTGTTCTATTTGACAAACACTGCACTTCTTTACTATCTGATGAGTACAGGACACAGCACCCAAGGACACAGTTGCCCCAATGGCCACCCCAGAGTGCCTTACCTACTATGTAGCAGTCTCCCTTTCCCTTTTTACTCAACCCTCCAGCATGTAATGCCTCCAAGTCTACAGAGTGACTGGTACTCATAGACTAAGCACAGCACTTACCACCTCTGCATCCCTACAGGCCTATAGCTGGGCTAACAAATGGCTGCTGTTGGAGGAAGACAGGCCTAGAAGTGACCTTGTAAAGAACATGTTCTAGAAAGACAGATGGTCAGGGAAGGCCCTGAAGTTGGGGGTGCCAACAAGATCTGAAGGAACTCCAGGAGACAAGACACCATGAAGAGTGATGGCAGCCCTGACACTGTCCCTGGAAGAGAAAGGAAGCTGCCTGGCTAACCTAGATCATCCAGTATGCTGCCCAGGCTGCCTAGTGCCCACACTCTGTGCAGAGTGAGAACTTGGTGAGGACAGACTCCTGTGTCCACCACTGCCCCAGGTTCTGAGAAGTGAGGGGGTGCGGGACACAGTATACTTCATAGTCAGTTAGGACTTTAAGCAGCAGAAGCTTGCCCAAGGAGAGACTCAATGACAGAAAGACAAAACAGGGCAGGATATTGCCCTAAAAAAGCAGAGATGCTCACAGTCCCATTCAAATAGGGAGACTACGTAGCTACTCAGGAGATGGCTCACAAAGGCCTCCTCGAACACTAGGGATCCCTACCTGCTGGGTGGATTGACCCTAGTATGAATCAATTAATCTCACTTCAGTCCAACTCACAGATGTATCTGCTGAAGGTTAAATTCTGTTTTGGTTTGCAGAGTGAAACACAGGTATTTCCAAACACACACACACACACACACACACACACACACACACACACACACACATGTGGTGGATGTGGGGTGGGGAAATGGCTTTTGTGTGGTTGTATTTTAAATGTCTGTCCTAATGTAGGATGTCTCATGAAGGTCACTGGGCAGTTGTGACAGTTTATCTTGGAAAAGAAAATATGGCTGTCTGAGACTCTGGGAGGATGAAGCCACCAGCTTCCACAGGTCAAAGAGTTCCGTGGTCAGGGAGTCCAAACACACCCAAGGAGGAACAAGGGCACTGTGGCAGATGCTGGGTACACTGCTTCTCCAGTTGGGACTCACAGCCCAGTGGGTCGATCACACGACCCACATTTTCATGAGCGATCTTTCCCTGTGGTGGGCCTGCCCTGTGGCAGGTACCTAGGCATGGCATGAAGGATGTGGGTCAGGGCCACTGTTTCCTCCCCTTGCCGTTACTATTCCAGCCACCCCACACTGTCGACAACACAGCACTTGCCTATCTTTTCCTACAAGCTGGAAGTTAGCTCTCAGAACTTTGAAGATTTGAGAACTTTCAGATGTCTCTCCTCTCCTTACCCACAGTTAGCCAAAGGGACAGGCAGGGGTCAAGGCTGCTGAAACACCTGCCAGTTATCAGCCAAAGAAAATCGTGCTACCCCCGGTCACCCTGACCCCTAGCTGACAGGTGAGGTTCCCCACAGGGATGTGCTAGCCCTATGACAAACACTGAAAAAAAAACACTGTTTCGAACAACTTTTAGAAACTGCATGTCAAACTCTTCCTTCCAAAACTTGTGACTTCTAGCAGACACAGCAATAGACTATCCTATAGGAAATCAGTCTGGAGACACCAAGGGTCACTCTAGGAAGCATGCTTGTGGAAGACAGGCCCATTGTCTGCTGCATCCAGCCCTGGGCTCGAGCTGGTCAAGCTGCAGAGGTAAAAAAAACAAGGGCTCTCTTGGCTCCTCCAGTAAGGCCTCAGCCCGCATATATACTCTCAAAGGACCTTCCTTTGTTGGGCTCCGATGCACTTCATCTCTAGATTCCAGGGAGATGTAGGGCCCCCTGTCCTGCCCATGCTTGCCTGCTCAGCCAGAGCTTGAAACACACAAGAGGCAGCAGGAACAAGAGAGGGATAGCCCAGGCTCTGGGATACATGTTCATATGACCATGAACATCTGTCTACTCAGTACACTAAGCTGCTCTGGGGAGGTTCTGGGACCACTGGAGTGACATGAGTTACCACATCATTCTACTATTCCATGGAGGGTAAATGAAAGTGAATGAGGCATGTTATGGATGGGCTAGCACTCACAACAGTGTCAACCATCTGGGCTAGGCAAGCTGCTACAGTGAGACCAGAAAAACACTATCTACCATCCCCTAAAACGATGTCCCCACAACAAGAGCACAGTCATTCCACCTGACACTTCTGTTCCTATTTCCAAGTTGTGCCCAGCTGATCACGAACTCCACCTATCACAGCAGTGGTACCACAGGCCACAGGTAGGGCACAGGACACTGTCCTAAGCTTCTGAGCATAGCAGGTACACAGTAGTGCTCACAGACAGGAGAAGCAGCAGAAGCAGATGGCCTGGGGCAACTTCTAGGGACACCTGTCATCCCTGTCACCTTGGGTATTTTGTTTCACCTTTGGGGATTCACCTCTACAACCTGGGAAAGACAGTGGCTCCCTGCTCCTATCTACCCCATCCATGTGCCGAGAATCATGTTCCATAAACACCAATCCGTGACCATGAAGACCTCACCTGAACTGCATATCACATCCTATACAGGCTCACAAGTAAGTCTGAAAAGGAGAGCCCCAACCAAGGCATAAACCCATCCAATGAAGACCTCTAGAACACTACAGGATACAGTGAAAACAAATCTGTAACTGTTCCCGGAAGAGCCCTGCACAGCTACAGAGTTGAACACACAAGAAACTAGCCACAGACAGGAAACGCCAAACCACAGCTTGTAACCCTTCCTCGTGAGGAATGCTGGCAGGGTATGAGGTGAGGGCTCCGGAAGCCATGTCAGGCCCCGACTCCTCTGGAAGAGCCTATGGACCAGTATCCTGCCTTTTTACAATCGTTTCTCTGCATCGGTGATGAACACCAGGGAAGGGCCCAGGGCAGTGCTGTCTATGGCCACCGGCCAGGCCAAGCAGGAGCTACTGTGACCACTGCGCCCACCTCCGGATTTTCAGTCATTCGTCATATTCCTGACATGTGGCCTTCAAATGTCATAGCTAAGAATGGAAGCATTTTCCTGAAAAGACAAATGTCATCAAGCATTTTTAAAAACACTTTACGCCAAACTGCAAGCTACAGTTGAATTCCACGCATAAATCAACTTTCTTTAACTCTGATCTAAATTCAGTTGATGTAAGCTTACTAAAAGAGTCGGGAACAATTGTGAAGGGGACTTATGTTCAATTGTGATGTTTTATTAACTCTTCCTTGAATTCTGTATTCAGTGTTCCTGCTGACAAAGTGGATGCAAAGACAGGTAACGCCTGAGGTGGCAGGAGTGGACGAACGCCATGATGCATAAAGCAGTGTCCACACTGTGCTTCCAATGGAGCCAGCCAACCAAGGGTCGGGGTGATTAGGAAGGACAGAATTTCTCAGGGTAACGTGAGACTTAAAAGGGTAATGAGTAAACAGCCAAATGTCAAGGGTAAGGATAGTCATCAAGAAAGTAAACTGCCCCTCTGCCCCTCCAGATCTGAACTATCACATGAGGAGATCAGAGCTCCCTTTATGGTCACTGTCACCAGCCATCCCACAACCACCCCAGCTTTGTGTCTACAAGCCCATGGACCCAAAGGGATCAGGAGGTGGGCAGAGGAGGGTGACTAGAGTAGGCATGGAACCAGCTTACCTTTCCTCTGGCAGGACAGGAACAAGACTCCTCAGGTGTGAGGATGAACTTTTCCAGCCTTTTCATCCATGCTTAACCAAGAGCAAGTAAGACAAGGGGGAGACTCTAGGAAGAAAGAAGGGACCTTTTGTACAGGCTGCTCCGGGGCTCTTGGGCCTGGCTGGGTAGGAAAAAAAGGCATAAGAGAGCCCCAGCAAGCCCCTGCCTCAGAGACCTAAAGATCTCTGGGAATGGCTAGGCAGGACAGAATTGTGTCAGACTTTCTTTTCGTTCCCGTTTATTTATTTAGCGTGTGCATATGCGTGTGCGTGCATGTGCGTGTGCACTTAAGCCACAGCACACATGTGAAAGTCAGAAAACAATTTGGAGGAATAGGTTTTCCATTTTCACCACGTGAGTTCTGGAATCAAACCCAGGTCACTGGGCTTGCTGGCAACATCTCCTACCAACTAAGCCATCTCAAAGCCAGAAATATAGGGCCAATTATTTTCACAACTGAGCTTACAACGGGCTTATTCCTCGTGAACACTTGCGGGAAGGCACACTAGGAAATACTCTCCATGGACCCATCACAGCACTGAAAGTTTAAGTTTCACCAACCTGCATGCAGCGTCTATCTGTGTGTAGGGTATTCAGGGTTTCTGAGCAAAAGTGCCATCTGCAGACACAGGAAGGGCCAGGTTCCACTTCCTGACACTCACAAGGTCCCATTTTGACACCTTCCAGCTCAACACTGATTTCCACACCAGTTCATGGGAATATTCTGTGAACTCTGACCTCCAGTGTCTCAGTTTCCCCCAAACGAATGAGAGGAAGATACCCTTCAGCCTTAGAGATGCTGTTCTCATGTGAGCAGGCTACTACCATAGGTCCCTGGGGGGGGGGGGGGGGATTCTCTCACATGCAAGATGACACCAGCCATTCTAACTCACACACCACCTCTCCTAAGTCAGTCAATAATGGAAGTATAAGCTGTCCACATGTGAAATGGGATGACCAGCCCAGCGAGGATAGTAGTCAGGTCCAGTTCAGGTTCTTAGTTTGGGGCTTCATTAATTAATCATTAATAGTCATACACCAAAGCTTCATAGACACCAGGCACTGTCTCCTCCAATAGCTGTGGTAGCTGTACCTGCCAAACCCCAAACCTCACTCTCAGTGATGTCTAGACATAAAATACAGCTGGGCAACTCTGGGGAAAGGACCTGGTTCTGTATAGATGTTCTCTGTCTTTTGTTTTAAATCTTATTTTATTTAATGTGTGTGGGTATTTTGCCTGTTTAGGTATCTGTGCATCACGTACCTATAGTGCCCTCAGAGGCCAGAAGAGGGCACTGGATCCCCTGGAACTGGATTTACAGACAGCTGTGAGCTGTCATGTAGGTGCTAGGACTGGAACCCAAGTCCTCTGTTAGAGACTCCAATGTTCTTAATCACTAAGCTACCTCTCCAAGTGCCATGAATAGACATTCTTGGGGTCAATGAACACACCCACTAGCCAAGTTTATGGAGTGTGGACTTCCCAGGGTAGTGAAGGAGACTGTAGTCTGGTGGCTATTGCCATCAACACTGTGGTGGGGCTGCCCCAAGCAACTGAGCCAGCTCTCTGAAGCCTGTCTCTCCCCAGGATGCATGTCAACTAACAAATCAAAAGCAGAAAAGGCCTTTCAACACTGGGTGATGTCATCTCCAGCAAGCTGAGGGGACAGATCTGTCATTTCCATAGGACAATCATATGCTCAACTGCAAGGAGAAATGCAAGCTAACAAAGAGCAGAGAGAATCAAGAAGCACCACGGTGACATAAAATAAGAAGAGGACGCCCAGGGAGTGAGAGCTGAGAGTGTGCTCTAGACAGCACAGAGGCTAAAATAACCAGACACACAGAGAGATTTCCAAGACTCCCATGAACTGAACCCTTCCCTGTCCCAAACTTCTGTTCAGTGTTTGTATAAGTTACTAAGTTCACAAACGGGGAAGTGGTTGAATCTTCAGCTGCCAAGTGAGATGTAGCATCACCCAGGAGCGGCAGAGGCAGGTGGAAGTGGCTTCCAGTTCAGATCAGTGGATACACAAGGTCTTAGGAAACCAAACCCGGTAATTGCTATGCTCCCAGTCTAAGAATTCAGTGACCCATTTTCAGTCAGAAAGATGGTAAATGTCTAGTTCAAGGTTAAACACAGCCTGATTAGTCACTCCCTAACACACCTGCAGCTCAAACACCTGAAGTATGTGGTGAACACACAAACCCTCCTGTTTTCTCTCATCAATCTGGAACTAAGAGCAATGCAGGATGCAGCGCTCAGAGGCAGGCACAGTGCTCTAAATTTGAATGACTGGACTGATCTTCGTGGGCTTGGTGCTAATCTCAAAAGTCCTCCCATGTGGAATCACCAGGGTTCTAAGAACACCTCTGCATCCTCAGGGACTGACTATAATGACGCATCTGCCACCACTGCACATGGTCTCCTCAGGGCTTCTCATCTGTTGTCGGGCATTCTCTGGATTCTCAGGGGAACAGACATGAATTGTGGGAAGTGGTGCTGGCAAGCAGGGAATGAGGGTGTGTGGGGGGACCCTTATCACAGGTGCCAGAGTCCTGCCCCTAATCCTGCTGTGACTCTGCTTGCACGTCTACTTTTTGAGTTCCTGATGGCTCTGTGCCCCATAATTAACCCATCAATAGGGGAAACAGCCATCTGAGAATTATAGAGCATTGAGAATGGTTTGGGAACTTTTGTTCAGAGCAGGAAAAGACTCGTTAATGCTGTAATGTTCAACAAGACCAGCAATCCCAGCCCCAGTGAACAGTCACTACATGACGCAGATTCCAACAAACTGCACAATAACGATGAAAAAGCACAGCTTCAAAAACCAACAAAGAAACTCGGCTCTCTCTGAGAAACCTTCAATTTACTTGGCCACTTTCTCATGGACATTCAATTAAAAACAACTGTGGGAAAACAAATCCAGCCGCTGGAAACAGCAGAAGCCAGTAGGCCATAGAACAGGCATTCTCCGAGGAGCCCTACAAGCTTTTCAGCATTGACATTTGACACAAGCCAGAAGCCTAGGCCCCAAGAAGAGGGCCACACTTCACCCCACCCAAAGTGAGTTCAATAAATATCTGATATGACAGCAAAGTACAAACAACTGAAGAAAAAAGAAAAGATGTTATCAAAATTTCAAGCTTCTGCCTTTGTGGACTGGAGATAGCCTACTAAGTACACTGCTGCCTTGTGAGCCAGAACCCACGTGAAGATGCTGGCTGTGGTAAGGCACACTTGTAATCCCAGCACTGAAGAGGTTGAGAGCAGAAGATCCCTGGACCCCACTGGCCGGTCAGCCTGGCTTCACTGGGGAGCTGCAGGCCAATGAGAGGCCTCACCCCAAAGTAGGATGACATTTCAGGAGTTTTCCTCTGGCCTCCACAAGCATGCATACACATGCACACCCAAACATACACATGTACTCATTCACACTCATGCACACAGTAACTAATTAACCTGCTTCAAAGGATATCATCCACAAAGGAAAGGGTGCAGTGGAATAATGCTTTTATGCACTGGTTTAATAAAATGCTAATTGGCTAGTAGCCAGGCAGGATAAGCAGACAAGGAGAATTCTGGGAAGAAGAAGAGCAGAGTCAGGAAATGCCAGCCCGCCATCCAGGGAGCAGCATGTAATAGCACACAGGTAAAGCCACGGAACACGCGGTAACATACAAATTAACAGAAATGGGGTGAGTTTAAGTATAACAGCTAGTCAGTCGTAAGCCTGAGCTAATGGCTGAGCAGTCTTAATTAATATAAGCCTCTGTGTGTTTACTTGGGTCCAAGTGGCTGCAGGACTGGCAGGTGAGAGAGATTTGTCCTGACTGCAGGCCAGGCTGGGACACAGAAAAACTCCAAATACAAAACCGGCTTTCACATAAAGGAGCTGTATTCCGAAAACACAGGCAGCAGCTAAAATTCAAGCATAAAGAGGCAAATAAGCCAAATGAGAAGAGGTAGGAGACTTAACAGACATCTCTGCAAGAAGAACCAACAGCCAAAGAGCACATGGAAAGCTGCTCAACAGCAGGCTGCAGCAAATGCTCATGGCAACCAGGTGAGGCACTACTTCACACCCACGCATGAGAAGACAAGACAAGGACAAGACCACCATCAGTGTCACAGCATCCCCCAGCCACCTATGGGTGCACCTGTCCAGCTCTGCAGGAACCACAGCCAGTGCTACCTGACCTTGGTGGAGCAGGGTAGTAACTGGAGGGTGAGAAACTGAAGCTCAACTCTAGCCCTTCAATTCTGAGACAAGCACAACACTGGCTCTTGCTCTTTTACATCCTTGCCCTGAGCTGCAGGGCTTCTTCTCAAAGGCCTTCTTCCTTCCTCAGGAAAGGAAGGTGGCTGATAAGAAAGCCACCTTCAAGGCCTCCATATGAATTCTCAAGTCAGGCTCAACATGACCCCCAGAGGTGGTATCCCTAACCTCATTCCTACAGCCTGTAAATATAAATAAGTCTATTTCCATGTCAGAAATGACTTTGATGATGTGATCAAGGATCCTGAGCTGAGAACCAGATAAAGGGTTAATTCCAGTGTGCTGCATAACAAGATGTCTTGTCATAACAAGGCAAGGAAGCCATCACAGACTACAAAGTCACATCCAAGGGACTTAAGGGCCCCTACAGACCAGAGATGGGGCCCTATACAACAAGAGACTATTAGTGCACTGAAACACATGTTCACAGTTAACCACAAAAAAGTGATAAAACACTAGCTTTGGAAGATACAAAGCAACTAACTCATGTCAAAAACTGGTAAACGAAGAAAGTTTTCTGCCTGAACTATCATGGTGGTGAGGAGACTGTCTCAACAGAAGGCTTCTACCCAGCACACGGGAAAAGAAGGGGTCGCAGACTACCATTCTGCAGCCCCAACTCAGCAAAGGCAAGCCAGACAAGGCTGACAGTAACGGCTGACCACCCAAGACCACTGGTGCAGCTTCTAGTGTGGACAAGTCATCACATATGGGGGGAGCACCTTGGGGAAGAGACAGTGGACACTGGACAGAACGACCAGCTCCTACTCTGCAACTGTAGTG